GACGCGACTTGATTTTCTGCATCTGGATGGTCTTATTCCTGCAGACAAAGGACACAAGGTTGTCTCCGCTACTCCCTCCCAGACAAAAAAAATATATAAAAGTGGCAAATGTTTTATTCTGCAAACAAGCAGACCTAAGTAAACATTATTTTACATCTCTTTTAGACTATAAGATCTTTATACCTTAATAATAAACAGAATGACACATCCAATTAGTTCACTCAGGCCACAAATTGATTTATTGTGTTCATTAATTCATTAAATATACAATTATTATAGAGATTTCTTGCTGTAAGGAAGGCAACCAAGCACCTTTCTCCAACTCTTGTTATAGCAAGTTCATGACAGACGGCTAAGCTAAGGAGCTAGCTTACACACAGCAGTGATTAGCAGCGCACATCTGGCATTTTTGTTGTTTCACATCTGGAATGTTGCTGCATGTATGAACCAATTGTGCCCTTAAGCTACAAGTTTGTGTGTATTTATCTCTCGTTCAACCCGTCTGCCAACCCTTGTCTGAGACGTAAAACTAGAGTGGCACAAGCCCATTAATGACAGGATCCACAGCAGACGGGCTAATATTAGCTAGCTCAGTAACAAAAGCGCAGCCGCAGGGGCTTAATGCTCGGACAGCTAGCATTAGCTAAGGTGAGCTTTGTCAGTACACACATCTGGCGACCGTTAAATACATCCGGCTGTCGGGTCTTACCGTATTTCCAGGATGTTCTCCAGTTTGCACATTATTTCTTGCTCGTCCGCCATGGTTCAAGAGTGTCCTCGTCGTTCAGCCGGCCAGTCGGGTTACCCGCAAGGCCACGGTGCTCTCCTTGTTGATAAAAACACAATAGCCGGCGTGAGCGCGCACACGAGCACGCGTCCGCACAGTGAGACGGCGGCGACGTACAGACGAGCTGAACCCTGAGCCCCCCTCAGCTGCACAGCCCGGGACCAACTGGACCCTTCCTCTGAAACTGTGGGATGGAAACCACTGAACTACACACGGTCAGTAAGAGTGACTCCGGATGTGCTTGTGATAAGTCAAAATACCCCAAAGCACAACCAGAAGTCTGCATGATTGTCAGAGTGTCATGGCATGTTTAACTTTGCCTATCAGGTCTGGAGCAACTAGTGAAATTATTCTTGTTAGATCAAGTTAAAAATGGCAATAAAATGGCAACACCAAGAGGAGGAAATGACTCTGAAGTCATGCATTCAGATCAGGAAAATATGTTCAGAGTCATTTATCATTGTAAGTAATATGACTGATGCACTTTAAAGCAGTATTAGGTGAAACTACTTTACAGTGTGTATATATGTATATATGGTAAAGAAAGAAGAAAAAAAAAAGTGACCGACCAAGTATTAAATGTGTAATTAAGTTGTACATCAATCTGTGGAAATAACTTTTTTTTAATGCTTTAAAAATTCACTCACATGTAATAAATATAGAATAAAGTTTACCTTTTTGGATGTTGATAGATAGATAGATAGATAGATAGATAGATAGATAGATAGATAGATAGATAGATAGATAGATAGATGCTGTATTCTGCTGTGTCGTGTCCTCTGCCTATATTTTCGTGTAACATCTGTGATCTGCGAACATCTGTCCCCGGCAGAGCTCAGATCCTGTGGGACTTCAAGTTCCAGCAACTGGAACAGATGTGGGAGGTGATACAATAACATCACAATTATAACAAGAGCACTCTTGCTAAAATGTGTGTGCCTACATCTATATATTTATATGTATATGTATACACCGTAGATAGATAGATAGATAGATAGATAGATAGATAGATAGATAGATAGATAGATAGATAGATAGATAGATAGCTTTTGACATGTAAAATGTTGAAGTATTTAAGATTCTACACAGTCCCCAGGTCAGCAGTCAAATCAAATCAAGGCGAAGCATATTTTTTGCTTTGACCATGTCAACTCCTTTGTACAAAAGGTCAGATTTCCTTCAGTTGTATCCTTCCCTTGAAGGCCATGTTCAGATGACACTCAGGTGGATTTGATCTACTCATCAGAGGCTTATTCAAGTAAATCAACTTGCAGCCATTGTTCACCTGTTAGAAATATGGCTGTGCCCCAAGTTTCCAGCAGAACATTTCTCCCTAAGTACGTACCAGTGGAGCCAAGTCCATGACAATCAGCGCTCCTTGGCCTTGTTTGGTCTTGAAGTAGTTCTTCAAAGCTTCTGAGGTGTGTTTGGGCTCATTATGCTGCTGCAGTATGAACCCTTCCCCACAAAAAAATGCAAAATGCAAACCAGATGGAACATAACATGAGTCTAACAAATGGAGTGCTACTTCTCCTTGGTCAGGCTGGAGTCGATTCGGTGCAGGTACCCAACTCCAGACAAGGCAAAAGGTCCCTACAGTTGAATATTCTCACCACCGTGTTTTTGCTGTAGGTTTAATCCATTGCAATATCATTCCCTCTCCTGTCTGTCTCATTACATTCACCCCTCTGTTACTGCCCCTAATCTCAAACTTGGATGTGAAATGCTGCTATGCTTTAGCCCACCCAAAGTGTTTGGCCTCGTTTCCCCTCATGAGAGATGGTTCAGAGACACTGCTCATCCTCTGAGACCACTACTAGACAGCCTTGTGTTTATTTATTCTTTTTTTTTTTTCTGAAATAAATTCTGAATTTCTCATGATGTTGCTTTTCTATCAAGTGAGCGAGCAAGGATAGATGTAGATTGATCTTCTGATAGCGCGCTCGCTGCTCCTTCAGATATATTCAATCTAGCCATGATTTGATGCTGAGAAAGACCTCTTTTGCTCAGAATAACAATTTGACTTCTCGCACTTTCGCTGATCAAATCCCACCGAGTGTCATCTGAGCACTGCTTCGGTGGAAGAACACAACACAAGAGAGTCTGACAGTTGTGCAAAGGAGGTTAAAGTCAATTCCACAATTTATTTTATAGTTTGATTGCTGAACCAGGAAGCAAAATCATGTTTGTTTCACGTTTTAAAAATGTTTCTAAATCCTCAAACTTTATATACATGACATACAACGGAGTACATCGTAGAAATGCAAAGCAGAAATATTCACGAGAAGTACTTCTGAATCATACCACATAGAGTCCCTGGTGCATTTAGTTATGTATTCGTAGAGCAGATGATATTTACAATTATAATTTTAAGGTACCTATTTTAGACTAAGTGCCCTCGAAATCAAGGAAAAAGATAACGAATGAATACGCTGATTCAACATTTTTCCTTACTAATGTTTATTTCCAGGTGGTACAAATCAAACACTACTCCACCTAAAACCCCAGATAGCTATAAAATAATAGCGGCTCAATTTCTATAGATCAGTTCATACAGCAAGTGCACCTGAAAGTGCTTTAAATCAATAAGAGAATTTCAAGAAAAAGAAAAAATAAAATACAAAAATCCATAAACGTGTATGTCTGATATATGAAAAAAAAGACATAAACAGACAAAGAAAAGAATTAAGGTTTGTTTTCAAGCTTGACACAGAACGCATCTTAGGTCTACTCTGGGGAACATTTAAAGAGTCGATTTAGAAGATGTGAGGGGGCACAGCTAACCAACATGTCACAAAAAGAGTCAGGAGCTCGTCCATTGAGAGATTTAAGAAGCAAAGTCTTAAAATTGTACAATGAATGGGGTTCCATTGAAGAGCCTTTAAAACCTCCATGTTTAGTTTCGACGAGACGGTGCGCCGGTGGATTCTGGATCATCTAAAGTACGACATATGCTTTAAACATTAACTGAAAGGATTATTAGATTATAGAGGAATGCGCTGGCACCTTCATTCCCACTGGAACATGAGGTGCTGCTGACTTACTTTTGATTCGTTTCCCTCCACGAACAGGTCAGGGGTGCCAAAAGTCACATCTACGTCGTGGGTGATTGGTACACAGTCAAAAACCTAATCAATTTTTTTTTTTAAAAAAAGGTAGAAGTGTTCGCACAAGGTGAAGGCTGCCTCTTTAAAACGTGTGGGCCCGAGCTGCCGTTGGATTAACTAAGAAGTTCTTGGGAACAAAACAATGGCCCATTCTCACTCAGTATAATCCTTGTAGGTATTGCAAGCAGTTTCATATGACTCTGAAGAGAAAAAGGCTACTGCAGGCGCCTCTCTGAAGAAGTGTTTCGGCTACAGATTACAAAAATACAAATGTCAACTGTAAGTATTTATTGTTCATATGCTTATTTTTTTTACTGTCTTTTGTATATAGTTTAGATATTTAATTTGCAACTTGACTGCATTCTGTTAACCTGCTCTGTGAACGTATTAATCTGCAGCTCTTACATTCGGTTTGAAGTATTTCTTTTTTTTACTGCAGCACATATAAAGATATAATCCCCCCGCAGCAAAAAACGTTTCTAAATTGTTGCCTTGGTGTGCCTGGACTTATTGCAGTGTTGCTGAATTACCTATATAAACCAAACAATTGTAGTTTTAAGCTGTCTGTGCTTGTTTTCATAAATATTCATTGAAACACGGTGTTCAGCGAGGCTAACAACTACATTATTATTTGTGCTATTATTATTAAAATGGGCACTAATGGAAGCCGACTTTGTTTAATACGTCTTGGAAAGGTTTACGAGGAATGGAGCGAGCAGTTTCTTTCTCTGTGTTGCTTTTTTTTTTGTTCCTGTTCCACAAGTTGGTCTGTGAATATGTGCTGTGTATGGTGCCACTGTTTTTGACCCGTCATTAATACTTACACATCATGGAACGAACTCCATATTCTCAGTTAAGTCTAAAATGCACTGTGGGCTTCATTTTTTGATTGTAGTCCCCACCAACCTCTTGCGATTGGATGCTCCTGGTTGAACAGAAGAATGTAAGGAACACTCTCTTTTGGTCATTTTGCTGTGAAAAGAAACCAAGAAATGTCGCATTGTTTCAAAGAAGGATGTTATTGCAGAATTGCTCTTTTTATTTATTTTTTTTTTACTCCCAGTTGTTGCTCTGTATGCTCCTGCTTGATGCTTCTCCAGTGACACAGATGAACGAACAGCAGGGAGCTTTTCCTCCTGTATCTCAGTGTGAGTGTTTTCTCTGGCAGATAAATGTCCGAGTTACAACCATGGATGCGGAGCTGGAGTTTGCCATTCTGCCCAGCACAACTGGCAAACAGCTTTTTGACCAGGTACACTGTGCATTACAATCAGCAGGTGCTTTGTCAGACGAAAATGTGATTGCAATTTATATTTTGCCCGTGTGTTTAGATAGTGAAGACCATCGGGCTGAGGGAAACGTGGTTCTTTGGCCTGCAGTATCAGGACAGCAAAGGCTTCTCCACCTGGCTGAAGCTGAACAAGAGGGTGAGGTCGACTTTACATCCCTTGATGGCTTAACTTGATGTAAACATGGATGTGATTTTGCTCATGCTACTGTGTCTAATATGAGGCTAATTAGTGCATATTTATCCATTCGGGCGTCCCTCTGCTGTCGGCGGTCAATCCCAGGTGACAGCTCAAGACGTGAAGAAGGACAACCCTTTGTTGATCAAGTTCAGGGCCAAGTTCTACCCCGAGGACGTCGCCGACGAGCTGATCCAGGAGGCAACGCAGCGCCTCTTCTTCCTGCAGGTTGGAGATGAGTGTATTTACAGGAGAATCTCAATCAAAACAAAATGCTGAACCTGTTTTAACGAGCTGTGGGGGTTCCACGGTGACTCACATAAAGCCCCTGGTGGGTTTCCCATATGGGACTATGTGCACAGACACACACACACCTACAAAAAGAAGGTGCTCTGGTAAACATCACCGGGTTTCTCTCCCTGTGAGACACATTAACATCACGCAACATAGCATAACATCACAAAACATGCCAGACTCGTCTGTTGCAACAAGCATTTCTGCCTTCGTCCTCTGTTACAGGTGAAAGAAGGCATCCTAAATGATGATATATACTGTCCTCCTGAGACTGCGGTGCTTTTGGCCTCATACGCGGTTCAGGTCAAACATGGAGACTACAGGAAAGACTATCACGTACCGGGATACCTCACAAGAGAGAAGCTGCTGCCACAGAGGTAGAGCACCCTGTGCATATTAACCGAAGTTCACCTTATTTCCCGTTTCTGTCATCTGAATTCTAACTGGCGCGTCCTCTTTGCTGATGAAACCAGGGTTTTGGAGCAGCACAAGCTGAACAAGAGTCAGTGGGAGGAAAGAATCCAGGTGTGGCACCAAGAGCACAAAGGAATGCTGAGGTACTGTATAGTGTTGAAGCACTTTTTGCGAGGAAAATATTCTGCATTTCGTTAAACTTGTCTACGTGACAGAGAGGACGCGATGGTGGAGTACCTGAAGATAGCCCAGGATCTGGAGATGTACGGGGTCAACTATTTCAGCATCAAAAACAAGAAAGGGTCGGAGCTGTGGCTGGGAGTGGATGCGCTGGGGCTGAACATCTATGACAAAAAGGACAAGTAGGTCACAAATCAGGATCCTAGACTTCCTCCCCCCCTGACGACTCAGCTCTGTGCATTAACGTATTTAGATTTTTTTTTGCATGAAAATAATTCCCTATACCCTCAAGTGCCTTAGATGTAACTTTACACCATTTCCACTCACACTTGCTGCAGCTCGAGCACACCAGCTCATCTGTAACTCTGTTTAAACACTGTGAAACTACTCTGTGCAACAGTATAACAAGTTGTGATGTTGGAGTGATTTGATTGTGATCCAGAAATTGATTCTGAGGAAGGATAACGATGTGGAAAAGTCCCTGAAAGTCTGAATCCTTGAGCCTACCGTTAGCATATTGCATCTCTAAGGTGTAAATGCTTAGCTATCATGTTTATTTCACACTTCTGGCACATAAAAATCCTCATATGAACATGTTAAAAGATTTCACTGGAGGTGCTCTTTAAAATGTCCACGACAGATTTATTAGATTTGAAGTTTGCCATCTGTCAGTAGATTCACTGCATCTACTGGGAACATTAATATGATTTTATTTCTTTACAAACATTCATAGTCCCAAGGCAATCATTCCAATAACTTTGGAGTTTCTTTTTTTTCAGGCATCACTATGGGTTTGACATTTCTGAGATGTCTCATCAATTATTGTTTCTCCAATATTCCCACTCATAACCTCCGCTCTGTGCTTTTGGTCCTCGTTCTTCTTAGCAAATGCTATCATGTCAACATTCTAAACTGAAAACGCTGAACATCTTGTTGCCACTGTGAGCAATGTTTGCATGCTGATGTTAGTATTTAGTTCCAAGCACAGCTGTCTCACCAAGCTGCTGACCTGCTAGAGGCTCCCAGTCTAGTTATTTTGTATTTTCAACGCATTAACATCTGTTAAATTCACCACAAATCATGCTATAATGTTCAATTATATGCATATTTAACAGGATGACCCCAAAGATTGGATTCCCCTGGAGTGAGATAAGAAATATTTCCTTCAATGACAAGAAGTTCCTCATCAAGCCAATTGACAAGAAAGCTCCGGTATGTATGTATGTCACGTCGTATTAAAGGGCAGCTTATTTTGTGGGAAGTTTGCTTTTTTTTTTCCACAAGTCAGACAAACAGAATGGCTTTTTGTGCAGCTTGATGGTATGTTGAACAAAGAGCTTTTCTTAGCTTAACTCAATTCATGGATGCTTGTGGAAGGGATTAAATAGCTGTTCATTCTCCACTTTTTAGAGTACTCATTATCTTAGCATTAGCAGTTGTTATGAAAACATTTTCACAACTAAGATCCTACAAATGCGTCTTGAGAGATATGCCTATTCATATTTATTCCCGGTGGCTGTAAACAGGAGGTGTGAGAGAATCCCATTTTTTTTTTTTTTTGTAACTGCTGAAAATTTTGCAAATGCATAAATTACATCGAGTAGTGTAATGAGAGCAGCTGCTACTTGATCTCATTTACAAACATGAGTTTAGCCTCTCAGTCCAACTTGCCTTCTGACTGCATGCACAGATTTAAGGAAGGCATCCAAGAGTTTAGAAAAATTAATGAAATCCTCAGAAACAAAACTATCATTTTGTGTTTTTTAAACCGATGCTTAGCTACGGAACAGATCTGATGTGCCAATGGCGCATCATAAATCAGCCCATGGGCAATCGCTGATGGCTGATTTTTTGTTTGCTGTAGGACTTTGTTTTCTACGTACCTCGTCTTCGCATCAACAAACGCATCCTGGCGCTGTGCATGGGGAATCATGACCTGTACATGCGCAGACGTAAACCTGACACCATCGAGGTGCAGCAAATGAAGGCCCAAGCCAGGGAGGAGAAGAACAAGAGGCAAATGGAGAGGTAAGGGAATAATGAAGGCTTTTTTTTTTTTTTTTTTTTTTACAGTTTACAATGTGTTCTCTCTGCTTTAAGAAAGAACTGTCAGGAGTTTTTTAGTTTTTCTCAGATGTGTATTTATGCACAATTCTCCTGTCAGGGCTCTGCTCGAGAGTGAGAAAAAAAAGCGAGAAAATGCTGAGAAGGAAACAGAGAAGATTGCTCGTGAGACCATGGAGCTCATGGAGAGATTGAGACAGATTGAAGAACAGACAAAGAGAGCTCAAGATGGTCTGACAACTTTCTGAATACAAATGTTTCTTAACTTCAGCTTTATTTTCTCTGTTAAATAACGTTTAAAAAATGGCTTGATGTATTAAGAACATTTTGGATTTCTGGATTACTGTAAAGCTCATCCTATGTCGGCGTGTTTGGGTGCGTTGGACGGATGTGTGTTGGGTGTTTTTGTGCACACGTATGTGTTTCTTTCAGAGCTGGAGGAGCAGACCCGTAGGGCGCTCGAGTTAGAGAAGGAGCGAACAATTGCTCAGGAGGAGGCAGAGCGCCTGGACAAGGACCGTAGAGCTGCAGTGGAGGCTAAAGCAGCCCTGCTACACCAATCTGAAACCCAGATCAGGAACCAGGAAAGCCTGGTACTCATGCACGACGCGTTTTCATTTTCATTCATTTTCAGTTGAATAGAATAAATTACACGAGCGGATTTTGTTCAAAAGCACTGAAAATCTCGATGAGACAAATTATATTATTCCTTGGGCAAGGACTCACTGATCAAGTCCTCAAAACTAGAAACAACTCAGTTCAGTTACGTTATTATTTTGCTAGATTTTAGACAATCCTACTTGATAGTATGTTCCCTTTATCAGAGAAAAAAAATATTTACATCAGCAGCTTCAGTCAAAAGACATGAAACTGCACCATGGAACTGCATATAAACATATATTGTACGTGCACACACAGACACACACACACACACACACACTTATTCTCTCTGGCACACTTGCACCTGCACACACAGAGCACAATGACCTTAGATCAGGAGCACTTCTAACTCCCTTTCCATTTGTGTTCATGATTGTATAGGCCACTGAGCTGGCAGATCTTACCTCTAAGATCTCCCAGCTGGAAGACGCCAAGAAGAAAAAGGACGAAGAGGCTAAAAGATGGCAGAAAAGGGTAAATGAAAGAACCACGACAAAGAGAGATAAAGGATGAATCAAACATGAGAACAGAGGGATGGACGTCTGACACCAGACGTGGTTAAAATAGAAGCATCAATCAAAAACAAGTACATTTTGTCTGAATTTTATCCATGTCACTGCATTAGCACAGACAGTGGAGCAGACCTCAGCACTGGGGGGCTATTGTTGGCTAAAGCAAAACAGGTAAATTCAAATTTGAACAAAGGTTTACGGAAAATGTGTACAAACCAAACCAGCGTAAAAAATACAGAGTGCAATGTTAAACTTGCACATAATCTCCACAGTAGTGCTGCTCATGCTGCTCTTATATCTGCTTTAACAATGTGTGTGTGTTGCAAGGCTTAGAAATCACCATTTGTTGAACATATTGGTAAAAAAGTAAATTAATTTATTTCAGTGTTGTGGTACAGATATTTATACATATTTTTTTAAGTGGACTGTGCCATGTTTCAAACTGCAAATGATCACATTTGTGGGAGCAGATTTACGAGGCTACTTGAGCTCACTCCGAGTTCTGTGTGTTGACAGGCGATGATGGTAGAAACGGATCTGGAGCGAACCAAAGAGGAGCTGAAGACTAAACTGATGGGCGTCCACATCCAGGACACGGTCCACACTCACATGCACGACCACGATGAGACGGACGAGAGCAGCGCGGAGGCCAGCGCTGAGCTGACTTCTCCAGGCATGGTCCGAGATCGCAGCGAGGAGGAGAGAGTCACGGAGGCCCAGAAGAACCAGAGACTGCAGAAAAACCTCAAGGTAAGCTTAGGTGGCGGTAGTCTAATGTCCTCTTGAACACCTGGGTCATGTTCAGACAGAGGTTAGCAGTCTCCGAGCTTATCCTGGAGCCTTGAACACAATTTACTATATATTTTTGAGTTGAAAAGCTTTACATGCTGTGAATAATGTTAAGTAAATTGAAAACTACTCCAATTCTAAGAGTTCTGTGCCAGTAAGAGAATGGGCATTTCTTCTTCTAATGTTCAAAAGATAGTCGATCATTGCCCAGAGTACAACAAAATGCGGTCTATGCATATCAGAGCACACTGGAGCAACCTTGTAGCAGATTAGGGTAAAGGGCCTTGCTAAAGGGGTGCTGAGGCTCGAATCTCCGACCTTCTGATCAGAAGCCCAAAGCCTTAACCCCTGAGCCACCACCAGCACCAACCAAAGCTAATACAGTTTCAGATCCATGACTTTATGGATGGTAATGGCAGTTATTTGCTCATCAGTCGGTCCAAACAAATTAAAGCAAAAATCTGAACCCCTGATCCACACAGTAAGGACATCCAGGGGCTTTGTTGTGCAACCATAGGAGTGGGTCCACTTGACCCCGCAGAGGGAAGGGTCGCAGCACATCAATACAAAGTTGTACCTTTATGCTATGATAAAACAGTCCTACCCTGGTGCCAGTGCTGTCTTCCTGCATGTCGATGACCCCGTCCGTAGGGCACGAGGGGTCACTGAAAGGTTTGAGTTCTATAAAAACGATGTGAATCATTTGCTATGGCCTTTCGCAGTCAATAGATCTAAGCCAGCTGAAGACCTATAGGAGCTTTCGAACAATTTTGTGCTTTTACTATCATCAAAGCACCAAATGAGGGAGCATCTTTTGGGGGAAAAAAAATGGTGTTCGTCCCTCCAGTAGAGTTTCCAGAGACTTGGAGCATCAATGCCAAAGAGCACTGAAGCTGTTCTGTCATCACATGGTGGAATAACACCCTATTGAGACACTTTATGTTGGCTTTCCTTCAATTTGTCACCCATTTGTATGTATCAACAATTGCCGGATGGCTTGCCACAATTGTTATTAGCATGGTAGCACGTCGCTAAAAGCACTGCCGCTGTGAGTGCAAGTCCAGCCTTACAGGGCCTTGTTTTATTTCAATAAAATGTGGCCTAACGCTTTCTGTCTTCATTGTGTTTTGAAAGGTAATTACTGAAAAAGTGGTTTCATTTCTAATATATGTAGGCTGAGTGAGAGCCAGCGTATGTGGCTGAGTGACCTTTGTCTTACGATCTGGTTGCTACGTCCTTGTTCCATCGCCTGCAGTCTGTAATCTGAAAACCACATTTCTGCTGCTTTCGTTTCAACGTGTCTTGTTACATTTTCCGAGCCATTTGTTGACATAGTCATATAGAGGATTTGGTTTTTCTGTAAAGATGGCAGCCTAATTAGCTCCAAAATTATGTTTCACCAGAACTAAGTGCACTTTGCATAATTAAACATTGTTACATTGGTACATTATCATTCTTTTGGTTCCATTCAAGTTGCAAATCTCGTCCTCGGTCTCTATCTCAGAGCCAAAACCAGATGTGATGCTGTACAGACGTTTCAGCACAAAAATGGACATAATAACTATGGACAATGGAGTGTTTTCAGATGGGATTGAGGGGAGTATAGGGGAGAGGGGTAAGGCTTCTGAATAGTCTCCCAGTCTCAGGTAAGAGGATTGTATTCACTGTGTGTTTGTGTTCTCTTTCAGTTCCTGAGCACTGAGCTGGCTGCAGCCGTAGACGAGAGCAAAAAGACCCCCAATGACCTGATCCATGCTGAGAATGTGAAGGCGGGCCGCGACAAATACAAGACCCTGCGTCAGATTCGTCAGGGCAACACTAAACAACGCATTGATGAATTTGAGTCCATGTGAGAGAGAGTCCACGCTCGGCCCCGCGCTAGATGATGGATTGGACACATTTAGAGATTTTAGGAAAGCGCAGATTATCGCATAACTAGTAAATTAACTTAACACCTAACTGTTTGAATGTGACAACAAATGATATTGTGCTCTGATGTCTCTAAAGTTTATGATTTTCATTTCATTAGTAAACAAGTCACCGCTGAGAAAAAGAAAACTGTCCTTGGAAATACATTTTTAATTTCACAAAAACAAAAACCAAACACTCCCAGTCTAGTCTAGTGTTGCAAACAAATAATACTAATTATCATCATTGCTCTTTTTTTTTTTTGTTTTTATTAAAATAAAATAAAAAAAGGGTTGTCAATCTGATTAGACACAATTGCAATTTCAATATGCCATATGGAAGACTTTATCAATGTTGATTAATTGAAGCAATGACATTTAAGGCAATTGTTATTATTCCAACTAGATGTGAAATTCTCTATTCTTTATCTCGGAAATAAAAAAAAAACCACAAAAACACAATCGGTCTGCTGTGGGTGCGTCAGGTTCCATATGAATGAATAAGCATCACCTTCAGTGCGCTTTATGAGGCAGTCTGCTCCCAGTTATCACTTTCTGATGCACGCCTGTTTATCTAATATAGATAAACAGAAACGCTACATTGCCGCTGGTTTATTCTGTAATCCGCAACTTCATCTCAAATCACTGCACTTCTGCTGTGTTTCTTCACATGAAGGTATCTAGAATCAACCCCTCACTCTTCAGCCAGCACGTCTTCTTTATTAGATTTTCTTTTTAACAGAAGGAAATATGTGAAAGATGATAGAAATTTGATTGATTTTGTTTAGATTGTTCCAGGTTTTTGTAGTTTGTAGACTTTCACTGTGTCATTCTCTTGTTGCTGATTTATCACGTGCTTTTCGAAAACGGACACGTTAAAATATAGCCGTAGATTACAGGGTTGGGAGGATGGAAAAGATACGTCCATCTTAATGCCGAGGTAGACAAATAATAAATGTACAAAAAAAAACTACACAAAGATTATGTACAGTGTATGTACAATATTGATGGTGCAGAAGGATGAAATTCCATTCATCTTTAGTTCAGGGGTTCATAAATTAATTTAAAATGATTTGTCATTGATGTGAAGAGGTGCCAAATGCACATTTAAAGAGGTAACTGCCCCCAAACAAAAGACAAAAGACGACAGAGGAGTAAATCATGTCTTTATGTGTGCTGAATCAGGAGGGATAGTATTATATATACTGCATCATATTCCATTATATTTCATATTGTGTGGTGTTTCCTTCACATAAATACATTTCCATTATAAACAGATACAGAAAAGGAACAAAATTGTGCGTAAAAATTCACCAAAATGTGGAATTTTAGTGCTTTGAGCTCCAGATTTCGGAGGAAGGCTGCCCAAGTCCCATGCTTAATGTGTCCCACCCAACCGTAGACCTTCACAGAAATCTAAGCTAATGCTTTAAAGTGCAGTGTGACTCTCAGATTCTTTACTGGCCACCTATAGTTGGTTAAATATGCATATTTTTACTCCATTTGTATTTACTCAAAAATCAGCAACTGTGCAGGGAATGTATTTTTATTTAAGCTGATATCTACAGATGTCTGGGTTCATGAGGAATAAACATTTATATATGTGTAAAACTTAATCCAAAGTAATAACGAGGTATATATACATATATATTCATTTATTCTGACGACTGCTATCACTGAGGGTGTTGCTGAGAAACATGGCAGCAGCAATTCTCGCGAGACTTGGTTACTTTCGCACCCAAACAACGACAGGCGCTCCTCCGGCTTTCAAATTGGGATAATAAGTTACATTAGGTGGCTGCTGCCTAAACAAACCGGCCAGCTGGGGCCAGAGTTCAAAGTCCTGTCATCGCGGTTTGTAGCGGTGACTCGGGAGGTGACTGTCAGGCGCATGGAAACGAGCTGGGCTGCTGGAAACGGTTAGTCTACTTTGTCAAAAGTTCACCAGCTCTTCATTCGTGGATCGGCGGGACGTCCCTTCCTTGTAGCAACCTACGTCGACGACTGATCTGAATTCCCCATCCGCCGAGACATATGAGCAGAGTCTCATTGGGTAGGCGTTTTCTCGCCCGGAAAGTGTTGTTTAGCGTGTTCTCCGTGCACCCTGCGCACCGCTGCAACTCCAAGGACGCGAGCTGAACATGGCCTTTCACCCGAGCGCGTCCGACAGACAAGGAGAAGCATCAAACTCTTTAATAATGAATGAGCTGGATCCCGCTGATACCTACGCGTGCCCGACCACTGAGCTCAGCAAGGCAGTGTCGGTGTCTTTGGGTTTGGATTCGGTGTCTTCTCCGCTCAGCAACATGAACCAGTGCTCCAGCAGCGCGTACGCCGACTGCGACCCCGCTGTGGGAAGTAGTTCCCGAGGAGCGCCGGAGTTAGGAGTGGCTGGGAACATGAACTCAGAGGGCGGCAGGCTGGTTGTGCGCGACAGCAGCCTCCGAGAGGATGACTTTGGAGAAGTGTGCCAGGGCATACAGCAGGTGAGCTGCATGGATCTGTTCCGATCGGGAGACGTGGACAGCGCGCAAAATTTGACGCGCGGTTCGGTGATATCCAGATACGTTGGCAAGGAGTCAAACGTGTTCATGGCGGAGCTGCCCGCGCCCGAACAGGTGAACGAGGTCCCGCCTTTGAAGCCGTATCCAGCCTGGTCTGCCAGCCCGAGCTTGTACAAAGATGCCCCGGGTGTGTGGTGCGCAAATGAGCGCGCATACGGAGACCGCTCAGAGCCGCAGAGAAGCGGATCCGGCGGACATAATTTCTTGTGTAAATATTGTAATTGTGGGCAAACGTCCCTCGGATCCAGGCACGAATGCCGCTGTGTCTGGTACAGCGCTGGCGAGCAGGGTGGCAAAGGTGGCATGCGAGCGGCGATGGCACAAGGGTACGGCCAAGTGGAAAGTTACCCCGGCGCAGTTTCTCAAGGGCAAACCACTTTTTCCACGATCAAGACCGAGCCTTCAGTTTGGGTGGATTGCACAGATCGCCCTTTGAGGTAAATAACAGACTTTTAATGATTGCTTTCCGTGTGCGTCAGGTCAGGAGAGCATCCAGTGAAGTGCCACATACATTCTTTCCTACCACTCATTCACTGTAATCAGAAACAAAAGAAGTACCGCAGTGTGAACAGCCTGTCAAGTGACCATGCTTCAACCCCACCGAGCTATAGAGTGGCATTTTGTCCTTTTTTATTTAATTATTAAAGATGTGTTGTGATGAGCTGAGACTGAAACATTCAAGATTTTTAAGTCCCTCAGAGTATCATGGCACTTTTGCTTACATGTCACCACACATACTAAAAATGCCTTAAATCTGATTATCTTTTTTTTGTTTGTTTGTTTGTTTGTTTTTGGCACTAATACATTGTAGAATCATAACTGTGCTCAGTGGCAGAGGCATCTCAGTATCAGCATTAAATCACTTGTGCTCTAATAGCGCCATGTGCTCTTGCTGGCCTTGATGTTTCAGCATGTAGCCAGAGTGAGTCAAAGTTCATTCAGTCCCAGACTTTCTAGAAATGTCCTTAATCCTGCTGTGAGCAACTAAAAAAAGAAGGGAAAAAAAGTGTTTTTATAAGGGTGGATGTGCCAGTGTCATTTTAAAGGAGAGATCCAGCACCTGTTGCTTTTTCTGTTTGGAATTTGTTTTAGAACCAGTTACTGATTCCCTTAAAAAAGAGTAACTCTGGCGTTCTTTAACCCCAGATTCGGTTGATCTAAATTGCCTTGTTATGCAATCAGTCGTGCTGGGGGGAGGACATGTGTAGCGTACGAGCAGTCTGGATGGAGGGAATCGATGCCCCCACGTGTCGTAAAACTGTGTGAGGACAGACCTAATGACCCACATCTGATGGGAATGTTTGACTGTGTGCTCTTACGCTTAAATGGGGATTTTCGAGCTGTGAAGGATAAATCTGCTTTTCAAATGCTCCTCACTCGATGTTTTTTGAAACCTTTAAAACAACACAATGTTTGTGCCTCTGTGTCCGTGTCTGTGTGTCCGTCCAGGCATGATGATTTTTTTCCAGGTGTGTACCTGTCAGACAGGAGAGTGTGCCAGGTGTGTGGCGACGATGCCTCTGGTTGTCACTATGGAGCCGTCACCTGTGGCAGCTGCAAAGTATTCTTCAAGAGGGCCGCTGCAGGTGGGTGTGACGCACGCTAACGCAATTATTCATCCGTTGATTTAATTTCTTACACCCACTTGCTCTATCAGGGCACAGTGACCTGACATTATGAAGGCGAGTTATTTGTTATCAGTAAACACCCACATATCGTTGCTATGAGTGGAAGCCTCGGCATTGTCCTCACCCCCCCACCACCTCCAACCTCACCTCCACGAGATTTTTTCTTGTGTGCCTCCAGGTAAGCAGAACCACTTGTGTGCCAGCCGGAACGACTGCACCATCGACAAACTGAGGAGGAAAAACTGCGCCTCGTGTCGCCTAAAGAGGTGCTTCATGTCGGGAATGAGCCTTAAAGGTGAGGAGCTAAAGATGAGAACAGAACAAGAGGCAGAGAAAAGAGGAAGTATTTGTGGTGCGTGTTTTGGAGAATAGGGTCAGGGTGGTCTGATACCGTACAGTCAGTGGATCAGAGCGGTGCCGGCTCCAATGCAGTCTGACAAATGAGGTTTTTCTTTCATACTGGTGGCCAGTGAGAAAGCACATAGTTATAATAAGGAGCAGCTCCTTGATAAGTAAAGCTGCATTTGTTGAAATTAAAAACAATCTGCTGTGCTTTTTGATTTGTCTGTGGTCGCTTTCAGGTCGTAGGCTGAAGGGAGCCGGACAGACGAGGAACGGAGATGAAGAGCAGCAGCCAGCTGCCTGGGGCCATGGGGAGAAAGAGGAGAGGGCAGGGAGGAAAGATGCAGTCTTGGAGGCCGGAAATGCATACGCTAGTGCTCAAGGTGGCGACGGTTTGCAGAGCAGAAGCTCAAGTGTCGTGCCAACTCATCATGAAGTATCGCTTTTGCTTCCTTTTCGTGCTACTCTTGTGGTTCCTGTGACATTCTTTGTTTCTCCTCCGCAGCGTCCCAGGCCCTGGTTTTCAGCATCCCCCCGACGATGCGCTCCTGCCTGTCCCTGCTCAGCATCCTGCAGGCCATCGAGCCGGCCGTGGTGAACGCCGGACACGACCCCGCCCAGCCGGACAGCCCCGCATCCTTGCTCACCAGCCTCAACGAACTGGGGGAAAGGCAGCTGGTAACAGTGGTGCGCTGGGCCAAGGCGATACCAGGTAAACCGGTTCGGGCCAAGGTCACCTGCTGCCAGTAGGTGTTCCTGCAAAAGGCCATGTTGCGCTGAATTTGCTGTCATAGTTTCAGGTTTTGGTGCATTTCCAGACAAACCATTTATACTACAGGCCAAACAAAAACGCTCCAAGGTCAGACTTGTCAGCAGCAACAATCCGATGGCACTCGGAGAGGCTAAAGGATCAAGGAGAGGGGAGCACAATTTGTGTAGCTCACAGTTTACTCTAATTTAGATGAGCGATAAAGCTATCAAGAAGCATATATAGTTTCTCTTAGCACTGGGCAAGGTCTCAAGATCTTGGCCAGAAGATAACAGACCTTGCCAGAATTATGTGCCAGTTTCACGCAGGAGCAGCCAATCCTGTGCAACGCAAACCGGCCTTTTCAAATATTAGCCACTAGAGGGGGATATGTTCATATGTAAACCAAGAATGTAGGGCAGAAAATGGCCAGCACTGCATCTATGCTGCTATTACTCTCTACTTTCATTCATTTCAGAGCTGAAAAGGGTTATTTTTTTTAAATCATGTTTCATCACTTGTGCATTTGATGAAAATGAGTGATGTTTACAGGGTTTCGCGACCTGCACGTGGATGATCAGATGTCAGTAATTCAGTTGTCGTGGATGGGGGTGATGGTGTTCGCTTTGGGCTGGAGGTCCTACACCCTAACTAACAGCTCCATGCTGTACTTTGCTCCAGATCTGGTCTTTAATGAGTAAGTCACGACCAATACTCTACTTTACTCTGTGTATATATATATATTTTTCAAAATCTAACAAATTTTTTGGAGTCACAGAAAGTTCCCTGACAAACCTGACAATGTGTCTTTATCAAACAAGAAAAAGAAAGAAGAAAGTTTTTTTCGGGCTTAATCAAGTGTTATAATCACCGGTTGTGGGAATATCATTAGATTTCACCTGTCATCACGACTGGAAAGTAAGGCACAAGAGAATACGAGCTTCAGAGGAAGACTGAACGACCAGGCATTAGACGAGATGGTAAACAAGGGCGTTGTGTTCTTGCCGTTTTTCCTTCGCGTCTGACACACGTGGCCGCAGAGGGATCACCCTCAGATGATTTATTCCGTTTCATCTTCACCGACGTCAGTCCCCGAGAACTGCTCCGGCACCGAGACGCTCCTCCAGTCACTCTGACAAGTTCTGATTTGCGCCGCAAAACTTCCCGACCGCTGCCGGAATCTCTTCTTTCAGAAACTTAACGCAGAGTTTGTGTCACAAATCACTGTATGTGAAATATAGAAAAACAATTCCGCCACCTCTTATTGGTGAAATTGTCGCATCGAGAGCGGGTGTCGCTCAGAATGCTTAAGTCAGTCGCAGGCCCTTAGAGCAGCTTTCAATTTGGCTGGTGTTTTGTGCAACATTAGCAAAACACTCACTCCGTCTGCATTAGACCTCTGTCACTCTATTGGGCTGTTTCTGACCTGCATGGTAATGGATACGCCTGCCCTTGTTGCTGACCCTCATTTTTCTCTGCCTCTCTGTCGTTCTCTTTTTCCATTATCCATCCAACTCATTTTTTTCTCACCTCTGCTGCTTTTTCTTCTTTTTCTTTTTTTTCCCCCTCCACTCTCGTCTCTGCGACCATTAATTGTCTTCTCTCCTTTCTTTATTTCTCTCTGCCTGACCCTCTCCTGCCTTCACACTTCTTCTTTTGTTGCACCTTGTGCTCCTTCTTCCCCTCTCATGCTGTTTTTTTTTTTCCCCTGACCCTTCCTCACAGCCAGCGGATGGAAGTATCCAGTATGTATGAACACTGTGTGAGGATGAAGCTGCTCTCCCAGAGGTTCTGCATGCTGAAGATTACCCAGGAGGAGTTCCTCTGCATGAAGGCCCTGGTCCTCTTCAGCATCAGTGAGTCAGCTCGCTCCATGTCTGAATAATAACTTGAATGTCAACTCACCAAGTGAAATATGACTACAGTCGAGCACAGCCATACTTCAGAGAATTGATGGGATGGATAAAGTCCACGAGAGTTATTGTTGTGTTCTGGCTTTGTGGTCACAGTGCCAGTGGAGGGCCTGAAGAGCCAGCGCTGTTTTGATGAACTGCGGACCTCCTACATCAAGGAGCTGGACCGCTTGGCCAGCCACCGTGGGGAGACCACCCGTACGCAGAGACTGTTTCAGCTCACGCAGCTGCTGGACTACCTCCAGTCGGTAATACGCACAACTCCATCTCACATAGGAAAAACACACCGTAGTGTGACTCTGAACTTTCCTATAAATGTCATTTTAGTTTTTGTCACGGAGCCACTTGAGCAGAAAATAATGTAGATCAAAGTGCACCTCCCAAGTACACAAACATTGTATTTGCCTTAAAGGCAATACAGTGGCAGCTTATTTATTATTAACTAACCAGGCAAGATTTTTTTTTGATAATTTCATGGGTGGATTAGCTCAGCTGAGTCTATCAAACATTATATTTAAAATTTAAGCAATACTTGATTTTTATTCCTCTGCGGACAGACTTCTACAAACTATATCATCCTGACAGAAGTCGTTCCTTACGTTTTTTTATTTATTTTTGTAACAACCTGAGATGCACCTCCGGTTTTTGTGTGATATGACTCCTGTTTCAGCTTCTCTGTACTGCTTCCACCTGCAGGCGATGGAGTCCAACACCTGCTGTTTATTTTATCTGCTGTGTGTGTGTGTGTTTTCAGGTATTATTTTTAACATGAGTTTTGCCATACTGGAAGTGCTCAGAGTGGCATTTTGTGTGCTTTGTCCTCCTCTGGAGAAAAATAACAGGGGGAGGCTCCTGAGCAGATTTGTCCTGATAATATCCCACACAAATTAAACCAATAAAAGGGCTGTTTTTGCTCCGTCTTTTACTATTTAAACTATAAAATGACGTGTTGTTGGAATAATACTACATCCCTTTGTTTTATTAGTACAGTCAGCTCTGAATAAGCTAATTACTTCCTCCCTATCAGGCTAACAAGACTGACAGTCAAATACCTTAAAAGAACAAAACCATCAGACTTCTGCTGTTTCAAAGCCATGAGGTGAATGGCGTGATTAATACCCCCTGAAAAGTAGTCTAACACGGGGATTTTTTGCATTTGCATATAATGGAGTTGTAAATGTAAACACATATACTCACACGAAGGCAGATTGGTGAGATGTGCCTATGTATGTGTTGACAGATTACAGGGTCATAGTGCGTGTTTTTTCATCATCCATTTGCTGCATCATTATTTTTGCTCAATCTTCCGGGCACGTAGCATGTGGGCATGTAGCCAAGATTAATGAAAAGTCAGTAAAAGCAGAAATAAATGAAGCCGTGAAACCTTATTTTTATTTTTAAAACATACACACACACGTCGGACCGAGCTGTGAGCCTTGCGAGGGGATATTTATCACGAGGTGGTACAGATAAGGGCTTTAAAATGAAATGAACATTAACAAGCGGATAACACCTGCCTGGCTAAGAGTTAAGAATTTTGTTTAAAACGGCGCCATAAAAATGTATATAAAATGTTTAACGTGTCACTTAAAGCAGTTTATTCTGATGTGTGCATTTGAAAACCATTGTATTTTATGTCTGCACCTGCCAGCGGGCCATCACGACATGAGTAGGCATAATAATATGTTAATTCCATTACAGAAGAGCCCTGATGTTCTCCGCAATTAGCTGGAAAAATATGTGCATATATTTGGCAATCGGCCAAAGTGACTTAGAAAATTTTGGCGTATCAGATATTGGCAAAAATCCAATATTGTGCATCACTAATTATCGCTCATATCATCATTATTGAGGTTTGAGAAGGCCCGGGGAAACTGATTATATTTGCACAGGTGAATGCAAAACCTTTTAAAAAGATTTTAGTAATCACAATGTTTATAGTTAATAGTTTAATACTGTATTGGGCTAAAACCGCACGTACAAGTATAATGGGGATTCTCAGCAGGTGTGCAACCACTAGGGGGTGTAGAGCCTTCGCTGTGATGCCTTTAGAACTTTTAATATCATTTGAGAACCATTCATTTTCGACCAAAGCCCCCCCTGACATCATAGGTATGGCCGTGACCGGAGGAGCGGCACGCTACGAGGTGACCTCCGACTGAGCTGCGGCAGCTTCTGCGTCACGTCTTTCACTGTGGATTTACCCTTAAATGCTCAGCTGTGTGCCGTACGAGCTGGAAGGCACTCCGAGATTGTCTGGCAGGGCCCCTCTAGGCAGGAGACCAGCGTTCATCAAGCCTTTGCAACTCAGACCCCTTCGGCTTTACCCGCTCTGTGGAGCTTAGAGTGTCAAAATACGTGATATCTTTTAAACCCACCTCTTAAGTCTTGTGTCAAAAGACAGCCTTCGTTTTTTTTTGTTTTTTTTCTTCCCCACCATGTGTAATATCTTTTTTTGCCAATAACTTACTTGATTTTCTTTTTTTTTGTAATGCCTCTCTCTTCGTCTCAGGTTGTGAGGAAGTTACACCAGTTCACGTACGATCTCTTCATCCAAGCTCAGTCCCTGCAGACGCGCGTCAGCTTCCCGGAGATGATCTCGGAGATTGTGAGCGTTCACGTGCCCAAGATCCTGTCTGGAATGGTCAAGCCCATCCTTTTCCACAACACGAGCTAGAGGGCGAAAGTCTCGGCGAGCCGTCCTTAACGTGCACACCTTTCGTTTTCTTTCTAGTAAAGCTGAATTGGCTGGAGAGGGGGTTTGTGATTTCATGAGGTGAAAGAAGCCTGTCTTGACATGGTGGGCACAGTGCAGCTATGAGTGTCTATTAACAGAAGGGAAGACGGCACATTCTTCCAGTCAAATGTAATCTAATTACATCTGCTCTGCTCTTCTTACTGCCTGTTCACTGTATCATACACATAAAAAAAAAAAAGTTCTTTGGCGCTGATTAAAACACTTTGCATGCATTCCTACTTCCCCTTCTCCACGAGCCAAACCTGCTTCAGCTCATCATGCTGATCACTGACAACAGGCAACATTTCATTTTGAGAGGTAACGACAGTAGTGAGAAAAACATATTTGCAGAGTTCACATCCTCATAGCTTGTCTGTGTGCCGTGCTATGACATTTAAACTAGCTTTTTTCACAATGAATGTTATTGTGCGCGCCTGAGATGATTGACAGTTAATAAATGGTTGTGGCATGCATGCTAAGAAGCGCAGCTATCTCGCCCGAAGGCATATAAATACATTTTTGAAAGCTGTTGTCATCCATTAGATTTAATGTTTGACTAATAGTTTATGTGTTGTCAAAATAAAACACACTCCTAAAGTGCAAGTGACTGCAGTAATGCAAATTTCATATGTATATTTATGAATTTTTGATGTCCAGAGGTCACCCCAGAAGCAACGAGGAAAGAAATTGGACAAAATGCGCCAGTGACTCATTTGTCGACTGACGCCGAGGGTGACTTGTTTTTAGAGGTTTTTGAGTGCCAAACGTTATTCAAGTACAATTTTTTCCAGAGTGGACATTTCATACTGTTGTAACTTTTCTACAGTTTCTTAAAAGTGTTCTTTGCTAATGCTTTGTCGTGTGCCACCGTGTACTGGTCGTAGCTTATAACGGTTTTTGCTGAAGTCCAGTTTAAAGAATCTGCTCATTTTGTCGCAACATTTACAGCTTAATAAAATGAAATAAAACGCAAGCATGAGTGTGTGCCTGTTGGTTTTTTTTACAGCGATGACAGAGTTGAAATCCTATTACAGCGCGGTCTCCTTTGAGTGCATGTTAATTATAATACAGTAATATCCCTGGGTGTTTTTTTTCTTTTTCTCGGCCTGATAGATTAATTTCAGCCTGTGATGTGTTCAGCTGGCTGGACCGGCTTTAGAAAACATCACACGGGGCGAGCCTTCTCTACTACTGCATTACCGGCACTCAGGATTATCACGCTGTCCACCCAGCCAGATAAAAGATCACAGTTGGAAACCAGAACACATCACAGAGGTGGTCGTAGTAGGAGGCCTGGCTGATATATCCCAGCCATTTATCCTGTTAGAAACACCGACGGCTGCTGATCTGAAATTGATACCTGTGTTTGAATACCATCTAGTGGTGGCTGAGGTTCCTGCACGGGTTTCAGTGAAACTCAAGCAATAAGGTGGTAGGACAACATCTGTTGGATCCATTGACATTTAGTTGGTAATGTAATTGGACACGGATGCACTCGATGTTACCATTAAATAATCCGAGTCACGAGTGGGCTTAAAGTGCATTAAAGGGTAACAGTAAATAAAGAATGCATTAAAAAAGCATGGTTTGGGATTGAATAACACATATTTAACCTAATGTATAATTTGGAAATAAGATCTCCATATTATTGGTATATATTACGGTAATTCACAACAGAATCTTTTTTATCAAGAAAAAGTAGAGGAGTAGTATTGATTTTGTTTTTTCTTGTTTTTTTACAATTGTCTGCAGGCCTCAAAGGAAAATGACATTACTTTAAGAGCTGCCTTATTTTAGATACATGATGCATTTAAAAGCCCGATCTATAAAAGAAAAAAGAAAAAAGCCCAGTCTGTCTGGGTAACCTCTACCGCCATTTTAAGTCCCATTTCCTGAACAAACCTCTTTCAACAAGTATTTGTCCCTCTCATAAATGAATCGGAGCTGAACGGAGCCGGCATCGAAAGACATGCTGAAATATCACTTATTTCTAAATATATTCCTCGCTACACATGCCCCTGTGGCTTCCTTTTAAAACGAATGGCGTCTCGTAAGGGTTTCGCGATGATCAAAAATGTATGTGTTGATGTCGACATTTGAACTTAGTTGAGATTCCATTTGATTTCTGTAGTTCTCCGAGTCTGCTCTGCATCAATATTACATGTCTACTGTAGCAGAGGAGGGATTTTTTTTTTTTTTTTTTTTACTGTTGGGTAACGGCGACCGCAGGAAAGCGCAGTCACTCTGGCCACAGACAACAAAAGTATAAACTATTTCCTTATGTGTAGATGAAGGAAAGATCAGCACAGGGAATGAGTTAGAGCTTGAGAGAGGATGGGAGAGGACGACACGGAGGAAAACAGTGCACAATTAAAAGAGAAGTGGAGATAGTTAAACCTTGACCCCCGAAGTAACTGAACACCCATAATACTAAAATCACAGGGAATATATGGTTAACACGCAGGACTGTGCTTCTGGCCGGACCTTACATAAAACTTAAGCAATAATGTGTTTAACACCAGGTTACCGCAGCTCACGGGTACAGTGACCGGAAACCAATTAGATTGCGGAGGTGGTAAGATGACACCCCTAAATGGGGTGTTTCGGTGGCCTATCTAATGGAGGGTGATTCCTACCCAAGCACCAGTCCATTAACAACCAATTAACTTCCTATTAATATTTTACCAGACAGGGCCTCTCATCCTGACATGTTTTAAGGAGCTTTTCCCAGGAGTGTTTGAACATGAGCAGCTTTTAGCGCAGCATAAAGAGGCCTGTGTAATGGGCTGAAGGAGGAGGAGTGGCAACCTGATAGCACTGAGAGCCGAGGAAGGGAGAGAGGAGAGGAGACAGACTTCTGCAGCTGGTCTGCCCTCCGAGCCGAGCCAAGCCCCGAGTCGGGCCCGCCGCGCTGGCTTCTGCAGTGTTAGGAAATCCATGATTTTGTGTCTCCGAAACAAGATCAGACATGAAAAATGAGCTTGTCCCGTGTGTTCGGCATAACTGTGTTTTGATGGTTAAAGATGTGACTGATGAGTATTCTGTTGTTCGCTCAAAAAAAAAAACAAAAAAAAACAGCTGAGCAGCAGTTTTGCCTCCAGGGCCTAAAGCACTTCTCACCTTCCTGGAGTTCATCATAAATAAGTTTTAAAGAGGATGTAGCTACTGATCTGCCCCGAACCAGCTTTATGCTGCGTAAGGTTGGTTTGTGTGGACATTTAAAACTAGTTCAGGGAAACTCCCTGCCTTGAGAGAAAAAGAAATAGAGAGAGGAAGGGAGGCAGAAAGAGAGAGAAAGAGAGGCCATTATGACTATAGCCTGCGGCTACTCCCAGCGGATAAGGCATTTGTCTTCACTTGAAAGTATGATTTATTTTTCCACTAGTCAGAAGGGTTATGTTTGTCACCGCACACTGAAAGGACTTTTGGAAATAGCAGCAGAAGCAGAAATGGAAAAAAGAAGGAAAAAAAAAGAAGTGCGTCCACTGGTTTTCTAATGCAGTCTTGATGTTTCCTCAAATACTTCCCTTCTTCGGTTACCTTGTTTGAGATCACTTTCAGTCTTCATTAACTTTAGTTAATCATACTGAACCTTGCGTCTAATTTATCAGCAGGAGCATGTGTGTTGATGATTAAGAGAAAGAGGGGAATGTGGGAAGGGGGAGAAGATGTGGTTGTATCAGGTTCCCTCCACTGGGTGTAGATGTGGTCTTAGATTTCTCTCTGGGCTGCTGATTAACCGTGTGCATGTGTTTGTGTGTGTGTGTGCAAGTGTGCGTGTGAGCGGGGAGTGCACCGAGGAGGAGAGGAACTTCAGCTTTAATTTCCCCCAGCTCCAGATATTACACCCCCGCGCGCTCTGTTTTTATTGGAACAGAGACCAAAAAACACCAAGTGTTTATGATGCATTAAAACATGGTGGGGAACTTGAGTGTGGAATTGTAAATCTATACATTTGGCCGTGTCTCTCCAAAGCAGAATTAATTCTTTTATAGAGGATTTTGTGTGTTTTACAAAGACTGATGATTGTAACGCGCCATGAAATCATGTTTATCATCTTGATGTGGAGCACAGAGGCTGGAGAAAATTCTCCGTCAGGGGGAATGAGAGGAAAATGGAGGCAGGACTTTCCAAAAAAACAAAAAACAAAAAAAACAAAATGCAGAAGGGGCACATGGGAGGTAGGAGGAGTCATTGAGTTTGCGTTGAAGCACAGAAGGAAGGAATTATTCTGCATTACCCTAATGACCATTTGAACAAACGGATGGGTGAGGAGACCACATTACATTCTATTAACTCCGCTTTTGTTGTCAGTGAACTGTTAATGATGTACAAAGGGAGCTCTGCACCGCGCTCCTGGACAATGCAAGCTCTGTGCTTCTAATTATTCTCAGGAAAGCGCCAACAGCCTTTATACCTGGAGACACATTAGCTGGCTCTAATTAGAGTAAATATTCTTCTGGTATAACACCGGTATTGCCTCAGCAATCCAACAGCGATTAGCCCTGTGTTTTTCTGCGGGGCTGCTTATGCATTCCCAGCCCTTCCCTGTCTCTCATTCTACTTCTGTTTTTCTGTCTTGATCATTGCCTTCGCCTCTTCCTCACTCTTCTCTCCTCTGCACTCAATTTACTTTCCCTCCACTCCTCCACCTCTCTCTTCCTTTGCTCCCAGCAGCAGTGGAGCACCACTAGCTGTGACAGAATCACAGCGTCTGCCCATGTTCCAGCCACCTCCCAAGTTCATTATATCTGTGCACAGAGTCCATCCCGTGTAGCCCTCTCATAGCCCCTCATAGCTCCTGTGTCCCGGCCAAATGCAATGTGACAGCGCCGCCACAGCCCTCATTTACAGCCATCACAGGACAGATTTCCCCTTCCAAGGCTCCCGTCTGCAGCCTGATAGATGGCACCCCTGCTTTCCCCCCCCCACCTCCCGTCTTCATGTGCATGTGAGCGTATTGTTGTGTTGTGTGTATTGCATGTGCATCCATGTCCCTCCATTCATCTACGTCTGCATGTGTGTGAGTCTCTGCCTTGGCTTACGTTGGGAACAGCAACGTTTCCTCTGTCAGTAGTGATCCCTAAAACAATGCATTATGATATTACTGTGCTTTGTTTCCATTTGCTCACACACTGGGCTTTCTTTCTTTTTATTTTTTTTTTCATATTTAATGCACTCTGCATGCGTTGCACTGATTTTCTGCTTAACTTTCAGAGTGCTGCTCAGTTTTAAGTGCACGGTTCAAGGAAGACCTTTCCGTTTTTGTGGCATGCTTATTGGAGCACCCTTGGGGGCGGGCACATCTTTTAGTTCGGGGGAAAAACGCTGCAGCACACTTCAGCTGCGGTACACACTTTCTGATATCTTGTCTCTCTTCTCCGCTTCTTTCCTCTCTTCTCCTCCCCTCTAAATATTATACTTGTAGTTGCAGCCCGAGGCATCAGCTCTGTGTCATACTGGGAAGGTCAAAACAGACACATGCACATACGCACCAGACACTCACACACACACACACACTCACACACACTCTCATAGATTTCAAATATCTCTATCAGCCCTCAGAGGATCAGATTGTTTTACGGGAAATCATGTCACGGGTCAAATGATTGAATTATTAATGCAAGTGCGGTGCAATAACAATCGGCCCTTGTCTATTGTGATTCCAATGTGATATTCACAGACCCCCCTCTCAGCCAAACTTGATACCACCATGTTACAATCCAAATCCAATAATGCCGACTCGGCAAAAGAATGTTTCCCCTCCTCCGCTTCTATTGTTTCATCAGTCGAAGAGTGTCTTTACTCTGTTGCCTTCACAGTAAAAGACTATTTCCTAGTCTCCAGAACCATATCGACTGGCGTGCCATGTTTCCAAGGACAAGGCAATACATTTTCATCAAAACAGTCATGGTAAAGTAATCCACAATCATAGGACTCTTTCACAACACACTGGTCTATGAAATGTGT